TTATTATGAATCATAGGGTGTGCTCTATCCTAGCAACAAGCACCTGGATGTGTGGGTGTGTTCATGCTACCATCCTGACCTCCCTTACTTTCCAGTTACCTTATTGTGACCTCAACCAAGTAGGCTACTATTTCTGTGACATTCCTGCTGTCTTACCTTTGGCCTGTGCAGATACATCTTTAGTCCAGAGGGTTAGTTTCACTAATGTTGGTCTTTTGTCTCTCATATGCTTCTTCCTCATTCTCATCTCCTACACTTGCATTGGGATCTCCATATCAAGGATTCGCTCCACAGAAGGTAGAAGGAGAGCCTTTTCCACTTGTAGTGCACACCTCACAGCAATCCTTTGTGCCTACGGACCTGTCATCATCATCTATCTACAACCCACTCCCAGTCCCTTGCTTGGCTCAGTGGTTCAGATGTTAAATAATCTTGTGACTCCCATGTTGAACCCCTTGATCTACAGCTTAAGGAATAAGGATGTGAAATTTGCCCTCAACAAAGTGTTAAATAAAATGGGACTCATTGTTGAGAATGAGTAAGCCTCTAAGCATTGATGGATAAAGCTTGATTTCTCCTTGGTGATCCCAATTCTCAAGAACATCTTTCAAACTTTGTTAAGAAACTGCAAACATTGTACATTATTTGGTCTTTTGAGCTTGGTGATTCTCACAAAATATATTTATGTGTCTACACATTTCCCCATGTTTTATAATGAAATTGTTCATATAATTACATATTTTTAATAATGAGTATTTTCTTTTTATTATGAACCTAATAAACTTCAATAAACAACCTTTCAATATACAAAAAAGTAAAGAAAAGAAAAATATATATGAACTACAAACTTATGTCATATACAGTTCTTGAAAACATATCAATCTCATACAGTAGTAATGAAACTGCTGTACTTATCTGTCTGTATCTCTCTGAAATTTCTTTTGTTCTCCTTGGTATATTTTTAAATGATTTATTGATGCATTTTTCTTTCTTTTCTTCTTTTTTAATCTCTATCACTTCCCACCATCTTCCCATGGCCCCAATAGAAACTCTACTTTCAAGTAAGTATATTGAAACCAAAATATCAATATATTGGCTATGTCTCAAAACATGTCTCATATTCGGCACCTCTAGTCCAAACCCTTACCACTGAAAGGTAGGAAACACATTTCATCTTCAGCCTTTGGAAATCCTGATTGGTCATTGCATAGATCAGAGTTCTGAAATCTTTCAATATTGTTGTCCTTTCCATTATTGTGGTCATTGTGTAACTTGTTTTCCTGGCTCTTATTTCTCTCTGCATCTGTAGTAGTTATGCAACAAATGTAGTGGCTGGTTGATTTCCCCTATAAATCAGCCACTTCTTTGTTCTTTCATCCAATTAGAGGGAATTTAAAGGTAGAGAAAACCACCCCACCCCAAGTCTGTCAGTCAGATGTGTATCTCTCGTATCTTAGAAGGACAGAAGAAGAAAGTTAGAAGAAAATTTAAAAAAAGAGCTGTGATGGCATACTGAAATTGCTTCCTGGTTCTTTCCCTTCTTCTCAACCCTTGAAGAAGAATATGAATTGAGTGGTCAGTGAAAACTACATAAAAGCTGTGCCTAAGCATGCCAGTTAGGAATATCAATAAGAGCTATGGTGTCAAGTGGTGAAAACTCCTAATCATTGACTGGTGGAGTAGAGTCCCTTTTGTGAGACAATAAAGTCACTAAGAGACATGCTGCATCATCATTATTATTATTAGCAAAGAAACCCATTTATCCAAATTATAGCAAAACAAAATATCAGAGAGGATATAGACCAGATATATATATATATATACCAGACAATACAGAGGGAAAGAGCTTTCCCAATGCTTCCATATGATTGCCAACCAAGAGAGAGATCTAGATCCAGCCTAAGATAAAATTCTCTGAAAAAGTAAAGATATTGCATTTGAAAATCAAATAGGAACTAATTCTAGTGACATTTGAGCATTGAATGTCTTCAGAGATAAATACCTGAAGTGTAGGAGAGTTAAATATCTTGTCAAATGCTAAAAGATAAAATTGAAATGATAGTTTTGATTATCTCTTACCTCTTTTGTGCACATTAACAATTTAAAAACTCTCTCATACAAGAAAGTTATTATTTTTAGTGATCTGTTCACAAAGTGCCATGGTCTTAGTGCACACTTAAAACCTCCATGAAATGTCATTATTCTTTTGCCTTCTCTTTGTTTCCTTTTTTAATTCAGTGCAAAGAGGTCAAATATGGGGCTTCATGTGGAGCCACATTCCAGAGTATGGACTGAACCAGATTAAAATGTAATTGGGAATATTTTAAAAGTAAATGAGATAGAATAAAACATTCACAGTGTTCATATGGGTTTTTCTAAGTCATTCTATTTCCACAGAAATCGTTAAGCATGGTTTAATGATCCCCATTCTATTTAAGTTTGATACCACCAATCTAGTGTATGCTCAATTTGAAAAACAGTCACCTGTGATAGAGAGTGGCTACAGGTATGTCTCTCATATCTTAGAGTTATGGGAAAAGTGAGAGAGTCAAATGAAAAATGCAAAGCTGTGATGGAGTATTAAAATGACTTCCTATTTCTTTCCCTTCTCAACCAGTGCAGAAGAATGAGAGTTGGCTCCCTTAGTGGAAACTAGATAACAACATTCAGCCTACCATGCCAATTAGACAGCATCAGTAAGATCAAGTGGCAAATTCAAGAAAGATGTCACAAAGGGGGGACAATTTTTATATCCCTTTCCTAATGTCATAGGCATCCAGGATATTTTGGAGAGAAGTATGGAAGCATCTTCACCACCTTGCCTATATGGCTAGCTTTCATGACAAATCAAAGTGTAATATGAAAAAAAAGTCTAGAGGAGATGGCTCAGAAAGGTTGTGATAGGTAAGGCTCTCTGCAAGTGGAGAGGATTCTTTTTTTTTTCCCTTTTCCAACTCTACTTTTTTGAGGAAGTTTAAAATTCTCTCCAAAATGAATTAACTCCTGGGGACTCCTTGGAGCAGTCCACAGACACACACTGTTTTAAACAGAAAAAGCTGACCTCCTTACAGGAAGAGGGAAAAATCAGTCCAGTGGAGCTTATAGAATGAAGAAGACTCATCTGCAAAATTGTCAGCTCAAGAGAAGCCTCTTAGAAGTCTGGAGACATTTTTGTGGATGTAGGCTCTGTGTAAACCTCATTTCTGTCTTGATCTTCCTCTTCTCTACCCAGTTTAGTCAATTCCTGTGGACCTCCCCTTTTCCCTTCACTCCACTGCTATTTGTTGTGGAGGGAAAGAGGAGGAGATGTTTGAAAACATTTCAATGTCTTTCACTCAGTTCAGTTTCTTCTCCCTGGAGAGGTCTTTGAGCAGGCAGGGTTGTGTACCCAAAATATAATGACACCATTTAAAAATTTGTCACTTTTCTATCTTCCATCCTAAGTTCATTTGTTCCTTCCTTCCTTCTTATACAAAAGAAAGGCAAAATTCATGTATGCTCTCAAGGAGCTCTCATTCTAATGGGGGAGACAATATGTAGGAAACAATGTACAAGCAAACTATATACAAGATAGACTGGGCATAATCAACAGAGGAAAGGCTTCCAATAGAAGGTAAGATTTTGGCTGAGGATCTGAAGAAAGCCAAGGATATCAGGAGGCAGGGATCAGGAGGGAGAACATTCCAGGCAGAGGAGACAGTCTGTGGACAGGATTGAAGTTGGGAGATGAAAGGTCTTATGAGGACAGTATCATTGGTTTGCAAAGTGCATGTGAGAGATACTGTAAGGTGTAAGAAGACTGAAAAGCAGGAGAGCATGGGGTTTTGAAGGACTTTGAATGCCATATAGAGGATTTTATATTTGTTGTTGGAGGTGATAGGGAGCCACTCCAGTATATTAATTAGGGCAGTGGCTTAGTCAAATCTACACTTTAGGAAGATCATTTTGATCAACTGAGTAGAAGATGGACTGACATAGGGAGAAACTTGTGGCACAGAAACCAACCAGCACCCTATTGGAATAGTCTAGTCATGAGGTAATGAGGGACTGAATGAAAGTGATGGCAGTATTCAGAAGGGGGGAGTATGTATGTGAAAGGTACTATGAAGGTAAAATTGACAGGCCTGAGATCCAGACACAAGTCACAAGACCACAGAGGAGCTCACATTCAAATGGTGCAGTCAACATGCAGGCAATAGTACAACCTGGTTCAAAAGGCATAAGGTGGAATAGGATGTCATACTAATGTTCCTTATGGGTTGAAATCATTGCTGAAGATATCACAGAATCTTCCACCACAAGTCTGACAGTCCATACCTTATGGAGCAATACATGTTACATTGAGAAATGTCAAAAATGGTTCATCCTTTGCACCTAGATAACCATGGTGATCCAGGCATTCTTCTCCAAGCAATTCCTACCTGGATCACACACATAGGGCTATACTTCAGGTTGTTTCCAATAAAATGTGTGTTCACATGGACACTTTAAAGCTGCTCACTCACATATAGAGATGAAAACTAGTAGAGGTCCAAACAAAGATCTGAAGTCTCAATTTTTTCCTAATTGCACTCACCTTTACTTAATATTTACTTTTGTCTCTTAGAGGTAATATCCACTCCCCCATCTTGAGTATTTTCTTCCCTTACTAATCCTTTCTAATAGACAGATATTTTCATTAGGAGTGACATCTAATCCACATAGACTGATTTATTTCTTATAACATGGCATCTATTCAGATTTTTGCCCAAGTGACTCAGAAATGTTGAGAGAAAATATCATACAAACCAATTACTGCATCAAAAACAAAACAAAACAAAACAAAATGTTCACACATTTCACTCAAATTTCTTTTCCCAATCTTCTGCCTAGGCTGAGAAAAATGCAATAATGCAATGCAATTCCTTTGAAAAAATCTTGCCTTTTCTTTTTTTTTACTTTTTCCTGAATTTTATTTCCTTTTTAAAAATTCATTTTATTTTTAATTTATGGAATAAAACAAGCATTTCCACAACATAGTATAACACAAAAAAAGTTGGTTGCACATGAAACTGCAAATCCATTACCGACAACTTGCTATTCCTTTTATATATATATATATAATAAAATTACGTTGTAAATTTCCTTTTTTTCCCCTCCCCACCTTAGAGATTGCTATCATTAGATACAATAGATAGATAGATAAATATAGATAGGTATAGATGTAGATATAGATACAAAGTCATGCTATGCATACTTCTATTCATCAGTTCTTTCTCTGGATGCAGAAAATGTCTTCCTTCATATGTCCTTTGGAGTTAATTTGGGTATTTATAATATTCAAAACGACTTATCTGCTGAAAGGGTATATCATTGGTGCAGATGCCAAGATGCAGTGATCCTCCACATTACCAGAAAGAAACTCCTAACTCATCAAAGCTGTATGAGTAACAATTAGGGGATAGGAGAAAGTTAGAGGACTCCAAGATCCCACAACTTTTGGGAAGGGGGGAATGGGCCTAAGAGTTAGAGAGGAATGTGCATCCCAAATTCCCATCCACAG